ACTCGGTGAATTTAAATTTTCGTGATGGTGTATTACCGGTAAAGTTGACATTTCCAACATTTCATTTGATGCTCATTCTGATTTTTCGTGTTTTGGTATGAAACAATATGTCAAGTGAGGTTATTTATAGTAGTTGAAGGCAAACATGGACCTTATAAATCATATCCTGTGACAGAGTAAATCAAATATTCATTTCCAGTTCCACCTAAATATATACTGAAAATATATTTTTGATAAGTCCCCAGGGACCGAAAACTAGAACAAAAACAAAAGCATAAATAGAAACTCAAACAAAAATCTCATGTATTGAAAGATGATATTTTTGGTCAAACTACAAAATGGCTATATTCCACAACATAATACATTGACAAAATTACATATACAATAAAATGATATCTAACTACTTAAATTATCCAAAATAATTGTCGCCGACCAAATCCACAGGTGCTACCTCTTTTGACTTTTCCCTATTTTTTTCTATTTCAATTTTGTTCAACTTATTGTAGTCTTGCATCCTTTCAATAAATTGGTCAGGCCAGGTCTCAGAAGTGATTGTGTAATGATTTTCCCATCCCGGTGATGTAAGTGATATTGGGTATCTCGATTTCAAATATACTTGAACAAAATGTCGCAGATTTGAATCTCCACTGACGCAAGGTACAAGAGTGTTATATATGTCTTCAACTTTTTCTTTAGTCCCGAGCCACCCGTATGTAGATTTCTCTATTGCCCCTCAACTCTCTGATAAGAGTATCTTAGACAATATGGAGAACACCTTCCCCTTTTCCGAGCAAACTCGAAACAGCTCGAAAATCACAGTTACCGTCACACTTGACATTGACGATTTGTTCAATGTACTTGTGCATAAAAACCGACATCTCCTCGATGAATGGTATTTTTGGTGGAGTCGGTGTATGAGGTAGTTTGCTAATACGGGATCCTTTGAAAACACTTTTTTGAGATTTCAGAGTAGGTGAATCGGGAAAAACTTTGTCAACATGTTCAAAATATGAAGGACTTCTCTTTGTTGAATTATCGTCAGGTGTTGGTTTCACCTTCTTAGGTGCCCCTTTAATTTTTATCGGTTTAGAGGGTGGTTTCAAGTCAGTGGTCTCCGGAAATGCAATCTTCCTAAGTTTTTCTTTGATTTGGAGTTTGGTGGACGCGTCATCTTTCAAAAGTCTTTCTTGGATCGCTTCCCATTCAGTCAAGATGAAGATACTAGATTTATCGTCTTTAATTTTACCGCCATCTTCAAAATTGAGTCTCTTCCAATAATTGAAGACCTCGTCCATACTTATTGGGAAATCAACTTTCATCTTTTTAGATATGACACAAGCACAAGGGAGTCCATATGTTTTCACAATTGTGCAATCACGCTTTGAGCTTTATCAACCTATATTAAAAGCTCGTTTAGCTTCGTGTAAAATGTAATTCAGAGCTGACCGAGAGATGTTACCGACCAACTGAGAATATAGGGTATTGTCTTTGATCCTGTGTTCCAACACTGTGATACTTGGACCAAATGTAGTCTGTATCTCATTATGCTGGTTTAGTATCATATGGTTCACAAAATCTCATTCCGTACTAAAATCACTTTTGTTATTTCTCCTCCAATTCTTCAAACACGCATGAACATACTCAACTCGGTTTGTTGTTGTATTTCTGAGGTGCATAACATGATCGATCCAGGCACAAACAATATTTTCCTTTACCTAATCTAATATTGTGCTTTCAACATATTTCAGTAGATAGGGATAGCTCACACAAACCTTCCTAAAATGTAAAATAACATCAGCATATAACTCTTTTATAGATGCATTCATTATAACATTCCATGTATCTATAATTTTCTCCATAATAACGTCCGCTTTGACCAGTTTTCCATTTTCATTTGCAATATGTTTTGTACCTACCGCGGGTCTAACCCAACTTCTCACATTTTTAGTAATGTGGTACCTACAAAGTAGTGCATAAGAAGTGAGAAATACTATTACAACCAAATTCATTAACGTTGTATCTTGGTCGATAATAATGACTTTTGACATATCTTCTTGGTCCTTCAATATTGACCGACAAACCTCTAAAGTCCATGAAAAATTATCCTCTTTTTCGCACTCTAGAAATGCAAAACCAATCGAATACGTCTTCTCAGTCGAAGTAACACCAACAATTTCCAACAATAGAAGTCTGTATTTGTTGATCTTATACGTTGTATCAATATGAACATGGTGGGGGAACGTATTAAACAATTTAATGGAATTAGAATGAGTCCAATAAATATCTCTTACTGTTACCTCGTCCTCGCATCTTCGGTGTCTACAAACATAATTGTTTTCATCTAGAAGTTTCAAGAGGTGTTGCATTTCGGTTTGATTCCCCCTAAGCGCTAATTTGGATAAATAGTGTCTATTGTACACTTGCTTGATATTTGATGTGTTCTCGGGTCTCTTGCGCTTCAAGGTTGCAAGTATGTTTTTGGACGATACCAAATTTAATGTCATGTCGGAAACACATTTCTTCTTATCCGGAAGGAGTCGACATGCAATTGGATGACCAGCTAACCTTAGACTTAAATCATGATTGTGTAAACCACGTATCACATTAAATCTCCATTTCTTATTTGGCAACAGATAACCACGTAACTTAAATGGACATTTACATTTCGTTGAATCGGTGTCATCGCATTTCAAATTTTGGGTCCGACGTCTATATTTTCCACTTCTTTCGCATGTCAAAGTCATAAATTCACATCTTCTATCCGCATTATAGGACCTTCCAATCACAACACCAAACCCTAGTTTGGTGGCCTTTATACGAATCCACTGCAGTATGTCTTCACGTAATTCAAACTCCTCTTCAATTTCAAAATGGTAACGAATATCTACCACCTTAGTTAGGATAGGAGATACAAGAGGTAAAATAACTTGAGACACATTAGGTTTGGGAATGTTATCTAAATACACCATATCTGGTGTGGAAAAAAAATTAAGCTAATTAATCCACATTTGCTTGAAATGAAAGCACATTTAGGAACATGAAGTGTAGTTCCGATAATGTTCAGCTACTAACCGAAAATATATATCTGATATTAGTGTAACCTTTTTCTAAATGAAAAGAAGATTAATATGAAGAATAAGGGTTGAAATGAATAATCTTTACCTTAAATTTCAGTTTTTTGAACTCCTTTTGATATGATGAACCACAAGAATGAAGATTTGGAGTGAAAAAATGGATTGAGAATGGAAGGGTTTTTTAAAGGGTTTATGGAAGGATGAAGAAATGAAGATGACCATGTTGGTTACTCTTTTAAGTATTTTGTATTTTTCATAATACCGGAAGTATATTTTCGGCAATATATAAAATTACAAGGTGGCAGAAAATTCAGTATTCCCGCTATACAAACCGGAAATAGAATACCAGGTACAATCGAAAGTATATTTTCGGTTCTATTTTTATCTTTTAAATAGGATAGAACCATATTTGGTCTGTTTGTGTGTGGTGTAGGTGCGTATCGGAAATATATCTCCAGTTTCAAGGGGCAATTTAGAAAATGCGTAGGATTTTTCTTTTCATTATATGGTGGAGAGAGAGATTCTCTTGTTTTTTGAACATATACACGAGGAGGAAAGTGTACTATAATTCTTGTTTATGTTGACGATATTATTGTTATAGGAGATGATTTATGTGAGAAACATCTATTTAAAAATTTATCGACAAGATTTAAAATGAAGACTTTAGAGAACTCAAGTACTTCTTGAAAATTGAGGAACTCCATTCAAATAAAGACATTTTTATCTCTCAGAGAAAATATGTGTTTAATCTTTTGCGTGGAACAGAAACACATGAATGCACCTACTAGTGTTCTTATTGGACAAAATCATAAGATGAGTTACGAGGAAGAAAGTGGCAAAGCTGACAAAGATCAATATCGGAGGTTAGTGAAAATTTTAATTTACTTGACACACACAAGACCGGATTTGGCATATGTAATCAATATGGTGAGTCAATTCATGTATGATCTGAGGGTGAGACACCTACATCCAGTTGATCTTGTTCTACAATATCTCAAAGTCATTCCAAGATGATTCTTATTTAAAAGAGGTGGAAGTCAAACTATATATGAAAGTTTACACTGAAGTTGATTATGCATGTTCATTGGTTGATAGAAGATCTACTTCAGACTATTGTATCATCTTGTGTGAAAACTTTGTTGCTTAGAAGAGTAAGAAATAGAGTGTAACTGCTCGATTAAGCGTTGAAGCAGAATTCACAACTATGAAATTAAAAATTTGTAAACAATTATTGATGAAATAAATATTAGAAAATAAAAATTTGTGAACAATTATTGATGAAACAAATGTTAGAAGATTTGGAGATACAGTAGGAAAGTCCTATGAAGTTGTTTTTTAACAATAAATTAGTGACCAGTATTGCACATAATCTAATTTAACATGATAGGAAAAAACATATTGATGATTAACCGACATTTCATCAAAGAAAAGTTGAATATTGTATTTGATAATTACCACATATATACCTTTTAAACAACAGTTGACAAATGTGTTAACAAAGAGTTTACCATCAGAAAGATTCAAACAACTTAGTATGAAACTCATTAATCACACTAGGTTTAACTATATCTATATATTTAAATTAGTTTATTGAATTTTTTTCTCTACATATGAGTCACTATTATAAATATAAAGTTCATTTTGTCACCCAAGTTAATAGTAATGTCTTGAGGCATTTTTATTTTATAGAATCCAACAACAGAAAATTAAATTTTGTATCCCAACTAATCTGAAACTTAAGTTTAATAGAAAACTAATTATTGTAGACGTTGAATACAGATTAAATACAAGAGTCTTCTGCAAAAGTAACAAGTATTCTTATCTTTTGAAGTAATTCTAATTCAGAAACACAACCCGGCTTCACCAGTGAAAATCCATCACTCGAAATCATTAAAGATTTATTAGATTACGTCCTTCAACTGAAATTCATGGTTCAAATGTGAGGCTTTCGGCTTCCCGTCTCACCGACTCAAACAGCACAGAGGATAGGTACCTCTCACCAAAGCTAGGGAAAACAACCTGCCTCATATTAAAATGAAAATGTCATTGCTTTAAACCATAACGCTTTTAACAAAATGAAAAATAAAAATTTGTATGAATTCAATCAACTTACAACAATAAGCTTTCCAGCATTTTCTGGTCTTTTTGCTATCTTAATGGCAGCTGCAGCCGCGGCTCCAGATGATATTCCAACCTGAAACAATATTCACCATAGAGAATCAACAAATTAATCCAATTAGAACGAGAAAATAATACAATTGTTTTAATTGATTTACAAATTCAGATATGAATCGTGAAAGAGGATTAAGGATAGCCTCAATTCTTGGTGCTTCTAAAGGTTTAGAACTTACAAATAGGCCTTCTTTAAGAGCGAGAGCCTTTGCAGTTTCTATTGCTTCATCACTTGATATCTGCCAAATCACACATATCAGGATTTGGTAGGAAGTGCTTTAGGAGTCCAATGGTAATAGATAAAAGAAGTTCGAACAAAAAAAACTATAATTCAAGTCACTAGGAGATATTTAGATATAATAAAATGCTCTATCTTTAAATCTTTTAATATGATACATGACGGGGCATTATAATTTTTCAGAAAACATTGAAACTTACTTGAACTACTTCATCAAGAAGACTAACATCCAATACACCGGGAACAAAACCAGCGCCAATCCCTTGAATCTTGTGTGGACCTGGACATTTATAATCGCAATTTGTACATCAGCAACAGCTTCAAAAGTAAGCTTTTATATCAACTCTGAGGAGCAAAACAGTATTAAAAATTTACAACTTACCAGGTTTTCCTCCAGAGAGTACAGGACTTTCAACTGGTTCCACACCATACAGCTGCATAAATCAAATCATAACTATAAATCGGAACCTAATGTTTATTATCAGGAAAAGAAACGCAAGATTAATATGTATATGTTTTCGGAGTCAAAAGTTCAATTTTAATGGTAAATCACTACCAATCAAATGAATGACTTAAAATTCAACCTTGATGTTGGGATTCTGCTCTTTAAGATATTTCCCAGCACCTGTTATAGTACCACCAGTACCTATACCACTAACAAGTGCATCGACTTTCTCTCCTGTACCTTTCCATATCTCTGGGCCAGTAGTTTCATAATGCACCTATAAATACAATGATATAACAAATGTGTCACCCAACGATGTCAAACATTAACTAGCAATAGTTGTAGAACAATTGAATTGATACCTTTGGATTAGCAGGGTTGTCAAATTGTTGAAGGATATATGCATTTGGAGTCTTGGCCAATATCTCTTCTGCTTTCTGAACTGCCCCTTTCATTCCCTTTGCAGGATCTGTCAGAACCAACTCAGCCCCAAAAGATAGAAGAATGGTTCTTCTTTCAAGACTCATTGTAGTAGGCATTGTAATGATAAGCTTGTAGCCTTTTGCTGCTGCTAGGAAGGCCAATCCGATTCCCGTGTTACCGCTCGTTGCCTCAATGAGGACACTCTTCAATAACACAATATTATCAACATGAATCAAAATAAGTACCGCTGATAATGAACTCAGAGATACACATAATTAGTACTAGTAAGTGAATTTAAACAACTGCTAATTTGTTAGAAACGCGTCGATGAATTTTCATCCGTATCGAGTACTAACCTTGCCAGGCGTAATGAGCCCCTTCTCCTCTGCATCAGTAATCATACTATAGCCAATCCTACACTTATAACGTTTATCGAAAGAAAGAATCACAAGCCAATTCAAAAGCATGTTTCTCCCAAAAGCAAGAACCACAACTCAAAAAATAGCTACTAGCACTATTGGAAGAAACCTAAGTTGTTACCTGTCTTTAACACTGGAACATGGCTCCATCAATTCAAGTTTCGCGGCAACGCGAGCAACAGAACCATCCGCGATTTTGTTCAGATATACTAGAGGGGTTTTTCCAATCAACTAAACAAGTTACAAATGCAAAATCAATAACAGAAATTAATATAAATCACACAGTATGAAACGTTAAAATATCATCAAAATACACAAATAAACTCACTTCTGTAACATCTTTGGCAATTCCAGACCTTTCAACCGCCATGCTATAAGCTCACTATAACACTGGAAAACAAAAACAAATTATCAACATCCAAATTTGCCTTAGAAAATCCTTAAAATTTATGCAAAAAAGTAACAATGATCGAAATTGAGATCCTAATTCCAGTGAAAATTAAAAGTCAACCCAATTGTATGATGCATGCATTTGTACAAACAGAAAGGGGACATGATGAAGATAAACCTAGTTTAGATGTTTGATTAGAAATGAGGCATGATTAATTATTTAATTGTAAGAAATAATTAGAGAGATTAATGTCACCTTTTGAAAAATGACAAGAGCTTTGGACTCTGAAAAATGACAACAATTTGGACGTATATATAATGTGAGATTAGTTATGACAAATTAGTAGATTAGTTTATGAACATAGACGGTTTTTGGGGTTAATGAGTTTGAGAGATAGCTGTTGAATTATATTATGAAAACATGGGTGGCTGTGATGCATGCAATTGGAAAAATATTGAAATGTGATCTGAACTATTGAAGGATGATGATTTTGATGCTATATATGACAAATTTTAAAACTAAAAACTAAAGTTTTATTTTATACTAATAATGTACAACGCGACAGAATAGTACAAAGTAGAAACGGTTAAGGGCAAACAGATCATAATATGCCAGGACGGCAAACATAAGGATTTGTTTGGATAAAATGTTAGGGGAAGTATGTAGGGATGTGTCGGTTTGGTTTGGACTGTGTTTTTATGTAGAATAAATATTTGGCTGATTTTTCAAAAGGCAGTTAGGGAGAACTACGACAGTGATGCGTGCGCTCCAAGATGAATATCTTGTTTATTCTTCCTGCGGAAGTCTCTTTATATAGTGAGTGTCTTGACTTCATCAAGAGTCTCAGTTAATGAGGGACTCTTGAGTTCTATAACTGTGTAATTACCGCCGTCTACATGAATGAAGATGATTAGTGTTATGTAACGTAGCAATGAATGTGCTGCAGGCAGTTACAGGCTTTAATGGACTGAGATGATGATCGGTTAAGAGCAGGTGCTACTCGGTCATCTTCCTCCTCCAGGTTGATGATGAGGGCGAGTTGCTACTCGAGCTCATGGGGCGTCTGGTCTCAGCCGGGTATCTTCATCTTATGTTGTTTACTAGTTTACCCTTTTCTTCTTGTCGGTTACACTAGTCGGTAGGGTCTGTTATTTCCGGAATGTACATAAGCCCCCCGACTTCAAGTCCCCTCTTTGTGAGGACGCCGTATTCGGTCACGTGGTCACAGAAGGTAACACATGCGTTGTCGAGTTGCTGCTCTTTTCTTGACCTACGTGTCGCGGAACAAAGAGTCACCATTTTCTCTTTCCTGAGGTAATGATGACTCCCACCTAAACTCTTGTTTATTGGACGGCGTTTCCCATGCCTAGTGCATTATTCACTGAGCTCTATTAAATGTCATATTTCTTTCTCTTTTCTATCTTGGTAACTGCAGAAGACGATTATCTTTGCAAAAGAACATTTTTACTCTCTTCATTTACGTTTTTGCTTTTTAGATTATGGTCGTATTGAGAGAGTGTGACAATGAAGGAAACGTTGTGAAATCCTCTAGTGTTGAAGAAAGATAAGAGTTATGGGATCAGTGCCTGCGAGAGATGAGTGGCGCTCTAGGTCAGGAGGAGTTTAATTGGATCACCCAAGAGGTTTATGGTTTAACCCTTTCTTCTTTGAGTGATTCTGACCATTATTCTTCCGCCCATTTTGACGTTGAAGTCATGGATTACAAGAACAACATGCTCGACGATACAGAGATTACAAAAATTAGGTCTTTGATGAGGGTCTCCTCGACTGGGAGGAAAGTGATGTATTCTAGAACCGTGTGTCTCAGCACGTGTGTGTGCTCCGTCGGAAGGACACTGACGAAGATTTCTTTTATTTCTACGTCGGGGTTTTGGAAGATTTTCAAGTCTGTATATCCTTTTCCGAGTTTGAGGCCGATGTCCTGGAGGCTATGAATGTCGCACCCTCACAACTTCGCTCCAACAGTTGGGGTTTTATAAAGGCCTTCGAAATTGTTTGTGAGGCGATGGACATCATTCCTACGGTCGACCTTATTCTTCTCTTTCTATGAGGTAAAGAGGGCCAAGAACCTTTCATGGATTCAAGTCAATGGCCTTCCTCACAGAAGCTTCCTCTAGATGTATACCTCTAATTATAAAGGTTTCAAGGATCGGTTTCTAAAGGTGAAGTGTGGGTTGAGGTTCCCCCAAGTGTTGTATGCTTTGGGCGGGCATCCCCGTTTTCCTTTCTACTGGACCCGAGATCCTTCTCCCATATCTGGTTTTACTTTTGAGAAGCTCAGCGACTTGGAAGTTCAGGCTTTAACCGTTCTTGATTCCTTCCATGTAATGAAGGTCGAAGACTTATTGTCTCTACCCGTTGAACAAATTCATGACTTCCTCGGTAATAGCCTTTGTTTTTTTTACCATCATATATTTTTATGCAATGTTTTACATTATCTTTTTCTTTTCTTGCATATAAGATGACATACCTTTCTGTGGTTGAGCAGAAGAGGTTGATGATGGAGGCAAGGGCTGCTCAGAGGACTGTAGGCGGGACCTTCGCGATTAAATCAGACATATCTAGGTTGGAGGCTCGGGCATTAAAAAAGCATAAAGGGGTAGGCTCTAAGGCTACTTCTAGCATGTTAAGTCTGAAGTTTCCTTCCTGGTTATTCATGAGGAGGTATAACAAAGCACTCCTAAGAAGATGAAGACCCTGATGAGCGATGAAGTTTGTCGAGCTGACATGGAGATTACTTCTCTGATGGGAGAGCCCGAGAATAGTTATGCCTTTGAGGAATTTAAGTTTTGGTCCAAAACTTCGATGGGCTCTGATTCTTATATGATTATCTCAATGCTATCGAGGACGTCAACAAGGTGAAGTCTGTTGTTCGTCAAAATATAACGCATAATCTTAGCTCCTATCTAATGACGTGTGTCGTCTTGACCCGTGGCCTCTTTGAGTTTACAGATAATCATGAGGAGACGGAGATGAAGCTGGAGGGGGAGATAGCTCGCTTGAGGGAAACCCAGAAGATTCAATCCGAGAAGATGTTCGTCACGGAGAAGGCCTTGGTGAAAGAGAAAGAGCACCGAGAGACTCTGGAGTCAGAGAATAAGGCCACGTTTACCCAGCTCAATGAGCGGTTGAAGGCAGAGAAGACCGCTAATGACGAGTTAAAGACTACTAATGCTGAGTTGAGGGAAGCTCTGAAGAAGTCTCAGATGGACGTTCTTCCTGCCGATGATGTGGCTTTCGAGAGAGAAAAATATCAGGTGTTGTGCCTCCATCCCGTCCTGGCCATATCAAAGATGGACTTTTCAAGGTGGTGCAGGATGGCCGCCTAGTTGATCTTGAAGAAGTGGAGAAGACTTCCTCTCCTCAGCTGAATCCCGAGGATCCTACTGTCGAGGAAAATGTCAACAATGATGCCAAGAAGGAAGACCCTTAGTTATGACATTTTGATGTTGTTTTGTTGGTTTTGTTAGCCATCCGATAAGGATGCACTTATGTAATGCTTTTTATAAGGAGTGGTTTTGCCATCCTTTTTTGTTGCTCCTAAACTATTGCTTCCGGGCTTATCTCCTTCGAGCTTTGTACTTTTGATGGCTCTTTGTGGCCTTTTATGTAATCGTTGATTTTCATTCTTCATTTATCTATGCATTTATCTTTAGGCATTGTATGCGTTTGTTTTTTAAGATAACTCGATATGTATAAGCCTCTCGGATACGAAGTTCATAGGGCTAAACGTGTTTGATCATGTACTATCAGGTACCATCTCTACAAGTGTTTGACATATTTAACGCTTTTATGAACTCGACCTAGAGGGGGAGTTGGTCATAGAACTCGACTCTGATTAGGGGAGTATGTTTATAAACTCAACCCAAATGAGGGGAGTATGTTTATGAACTAGACCCAGATGAGGGGAGTATGTCTATAAACTCGACCCTGGTGAGGGGAGGATGTTTATGAACTCTACCAAGATGAGGGGGGTATTTTGCAGAAATCGACCCTGATGAGGGGAGTTGTTTGTGAAGAACTCGACCCAGATGAAAGGAGTGTGTTTATGAACTCGATTCAGATGAGGGGAGTATGTTTATGAACTCGACCTTGGTTAGGGGAGTATGTTTATGAACTTGACCTGGTGAGGGGAGTATGTTTATGAACTCGACTCAGATGAGGGGAGTATTTTATAGAACTCGACCCTGATGAAACGAGTATGTTTATAAACTCGACCCAGATGAGGGGAGTATTTTGAAAAACATGACCCTGATGAGGGGAGTTGTTTGTGAAGAACTCGACCCAGATGAGGGGAGTAGTTTAAAGAACTCAACCTAGATCTGGGGAATATTGGAAGCTATTTTTGTGAGAGGCACGAAATGCGCCTCGACTTCTACCAGAACAGAGCCCCTTATAAGGGTTGACCGAGTAGGTCCAGAGCCTTAGCGAGGTTGAAGCCGAGTTGTGAGAGGCGTAAAGTGTGCTTCAACTTTTTTTCGGAACAAGGCCCCTTGTAAGGGTTGGCCGAGTAGATCCAAAGCCTTAGCGAGGTTGAAGTCGAGTTGCAAGAGGCATAAAGTGTGCTTCAACTTTTTGTTGGAACAGAGCCTCATGTAAGGGTTGGCCGAGTAGGTCTAGATCCTTAGCAAGGTTGAAGCCGAGTTGCAAGAGAGGTATTTACAGACATTTGTTTTTATTTTTGGAACAACCTTACCGTTGAACCAAGACTACCCCTTCCTTTTTTGAAGATGGACTTCGCATATCTATGATTGCTTGACACTTGTCCGCAATGGCTTTTATTCCCCGGTTTGTGAGCATGAACCCCAGGAACTTGCCGGCATGAACTCCGAATATACATTTGTCTGAGTTGAGCCTCATGTCGTAGTGCCTTATGAACGTGAACGTTTCTTTCAGGTCCGTCACATGCCGCTTTTCAACTGTGGTTTTTACGACCATGTCATCTACGTATACCTCCA